CTCTTCTATTTGCTCAAGTAGTTTTGGACCTGTTTCTATTGGATCTTCCATAATAAATACTAAGTCATCTGCAAATGCTTGCAATTTATATTCTTTCTTAATTTTCATTTCTTTTATAACTTTGTCTTGTCTTATCTTTCTATTCAAAACTTCTAGTGTCAGTATAAATAATAGTGGAGATAGCAGGCACACTTGCCTCGTCCCTTTTCTAATAGGCACTTTTTCTTTATAAATAGTTTTAACCATATTTATGAATCCCTCCCCCAAAATCCATCATTTGCAATTGCATTATCATAAATTGCCAATTTATATTATCAAAAGCTTTCTGTGCATCCAAAAATAACAATGCCATTTGTTTCCCCGGGTGTGCTTCATAATATTCTAATGCATTCAGTATAATCCGCATATTGTCTCTGATCTGTCTCTTGGGTAGAAAACCATTTTGGTCTGAGTGTATAAATTCACTTAATAGTCTTTTGAGTCTTTCCGCCATTATCGATGCAAAGATTTTATAATACACATTTAATAAAGAAATTGGTCTATAGTTCTTTATTTGCTGCAAGTCTGATTCTTCTTTTGGGATAAGAGTTATATAGACCTCCGACCAAGAGTCCGGTATTTTTACTTTCAATAACAACTCATTAAATACGTCCAGCATGATACTGTTTAACACATTTTGCAATGTTTTGTAAAATTCTGTTGGCTACCCATCTGGGCCTGGTGTTTTCTTTTTCTTTTTTTGTCTTTTTATTGCTTTTATTATTCCCATCATTATTGTTCTCTCTTCCAGTGCCTTTTTAAACTTTTCTGGAATCTTGGGTGTTTCCGCCTTCTCTAAATACTGTTTTATCTTTTCCTCTGCCACTGTCTCTTCTTGGTATAGTTCCTTATAGTAATGTTCCACTATTTTTTCCTTTTCTTCCTTTTGGTAACAAATATTCCCTAATATTGGTCTAATAATTGGTTTATGTGGTTTATGAATTTTTTTCTTTCTCTTTTTTTTTTCATCTTGTACACCAGCCATCTTCCTGGTTTATTTGCTTTTTCAAAGAAATTTTGTCTTGTTAATTTTATTTTATTTGCCACTTCTTCATTTTCCATTAAATTTAATTTATGTTTTTGTAAATCCACCATTTTTTTAATTTGTGGGTTTCTTTGTAGTTCTGTCTCCAATCTCTTTATATTCTTCCTCTATCTTCTTTTGTGTTTGTCTATTCTGTTTGTTCCTTTTTCCTAGCTAAGTTATTACTAGTTCTCTAGTTAGTATATGCTTTGCTGGTATCCCACACATTCTGCAGTGATGTATCCTCCTTCCTGTTTTCTTTAAAGAAAAAGTTCAGTTCTTTTTCCATATATTGCTGAAATTCTTCTTCATTTAGTAAATTCTGATTTAATGTCCATCTCAATTCTTTTTCTCTGACTTTTTCATGTCATTATTATTGGGTTGTGATCTGTCCATATGTTCGTTTCTATATCAATCTTATGTGTTTTAGCAATTAGATCTATTGCAATCCAAATCATATCTAATCTTTGCCATGACATATGTCTATATCTAGATGTTATCTTGACCCCATGCCAATCAAGGTCTTGTCCTTTTTGCCTGGAACCTGTCAGGCTTGGATGAGGCGGAATAGACTTGGGTTCAGCCTTAGTGAGAGTGACTGTAGGTCAAATCTGTGGACTTCTGGGGAGGAAACAGTGGACTGAAGATGACTCCACAAGAAGTGGAGCCAATGATAATGACAGACTATTAAGTAGATTGTCTCTTTCATAATTCCTTTTCAGACAAGGGGACAGCTGCTCCTCATGAGGAGACACCAGGTCCGGGAAGCTTCCATGCTTAGTTCCATTCTTCCCCCTTGGATGCAATCTGGTGGTCTTCCTGGACTCTCACTGCTCCTTGTAGAGAGCAAAAATGACCTTGATGGGCTGAAATGCTTTGTGTTTTTTTTAAAGTCCAGGACAACAGATAATTCAAAAGCAGTATGGGCAGATGCCTCCATAA